TGTATATTCATTGTGTGTGTGTGTTTGTGCGTGTGTTTATGAATATTTGTAGTTGCGTATAATTATTGTTGTAGTTTAATAATAAGTAGTTTCATTTAAGTTTTGATTGCATCAATGATTTGTACATTTTATTTTGATGATTAAAAAGTTAGCAATAATTGCATTTGTTTGCGTGTGTGTGTGTGTGTGTGTTTTCGTTGATTATGTAATTAAATGATGATTTGTAGACACAAGTGTGTGTTTGTGTTTATGGCAGTTAATTGTTATGACAGTGATGAATGATTTTGTTTTGAATTAGGTGTACACGTGTTCATATATAAATTGCATATATACGCAGGTATATATGCATGTGTAGATATGTGTGAATATGTAACAAATTAGTTAATGGATAAATGCGGCAAGTGTTTATTGATTTACATTGTTTTCGATATTCGTTTTTGTTTATATATTATAAAAGTTTGTTTGTTTGTTTGTTTGTTTTTCATTGTGTGATGTTTTATATTCAATTGCCATTCAATTAAATATATATTTTGTATTATTTTTATTCCAACAACAAAGTGACATCAGAAAAAAAGCAGTAATAACGGCAAGCAAGCAGGCAGTTAGCACGGTTTTCGGACAAGCACGGGCACAGTTATATGATATGTAAACACATACATATAGAATTTAATATATACATATAAGTAATTAATTTTTATTCAAGCCATTTGAGTTGAAAGCGATGCGTTGTATTTGCACAGCGAAATTAAACAAAAATTGTGTGTTTTTTTGTTTTTTTTTTGTTTTTTTTTTTTGTTTTGGAAAACATTTAAGCAGATGTGTAAATAAATAATATTCAATTGTATTTTCATTGGTTGTGTGTTGAATTTTAAGGCGTTTGTATGTGTGTGTGTTTATTGTTATGATATTTATTTGGCGCAGAATTCAAAGTTTTTATTTATTAATTTTTTTAAATTTTTTCGCAATAAATTATAAGTGTTTTTATGCGTTGTTTTCATGTTTATGTTTTATATAAATTTCACATTGTTTACCAATTTTCCAGGCAATTTTGCATTCAATGCATGATTTGCAGTAATTCAATTGTGTTTTTGTTGTTTTTTTTTGTTAAAATATATTTTAAGCCGATTTATTTATATTTGTTTTTGATGTGCGTGTGTATGTGTTATGATATGTATACCATGCGAATGCAGTTGATGGTGTTTTTTCATGTGTTGTTACGTTTAATGTTGTTGGTTTATTCAGTTTTCAACGATTTCAAATTGAAATTTGTTGTAGTTATTTTTGTTATTTTTATAATTTATATAGTTGTTGTTGAAGCACACATAAACACATATATAAGCGCAAAATATAAAAAGAGAAGAGAGAACATAAATTATCTGTTAAGTCGCATGTCAAAATAAATTAAGCAAATAATTATGGTAAAATTTTTGAGAATTCATAATGCAAATATGTATGTTAAGTGTATGTATTTTAAGTTGATTCAGGGTGTTGCAGCTAAACTAGTTGTTATTTACTTAAATCTTGCTAAGCAAACAGATGAAGTTTGTCCGGCTTGGCGAATATAAACCAAAATTATCAAAAATATACAATATGTGGATACATCCAAACAGTATTTCACAGTCAATTAAACGTTGAATGAAAAAACTTTCCCCAAAAGTTAATTTTGTTAAATTTAGTCATGTAGTAGATGATATTCTTCAGATTCAATGTTTAATTTTAATAAATTTTGCTTCATATAATTTCATTATTATTACTTATTTAATAAAATTAGCGTTATTGCATTTTTATTCTTTTTATACTAATTATATTATTGATATTCACTTCATGTGTTCATATTATATATTACATATTATTATATTATATATTATTTAAACTTTTTTATTTTTTTTATTTTTGTTTAATTTATTTATTTTATTTTCTTATTTATTTTTAATTTTATTGTGTCTCATTTAATTAATTTAATTTTATTAAATGCAATCTTATTTACTTTATTTTATTTCATTTGGGTTAACTTTACTTTTATTAATTTTGTTGAATTTAAATTTAATTTACTTTAATTTTATTTTGTTTTTTTTTTTTCATTTTATCTTATTTTATTTTATTTTATTTTATTTTATTTTATTTTATTTTATTTTATTTTATTTTATTTTATTTTATTTTATTTTATTTTATTTTATTTTATTTTATTTTATTTTATTTTATTTTATTTTATTTTATTTTATTTTATTTTATTTTATTTTATTTTATTTTATTTTATTTTATTTTATTTTATTTTATTTTATTTTATTTTATTTTATTTTATTTTATTTTATTTTATTTTATTTTATTTTATTTTATTTTATTTTATTTTATTTTATTTTATTTTATTTTATTTTATTTTATTTTATTTTATTTTATTTTATTTTATTTTATTTTATTTTATTTTATTTTATTTTATTTTATTTTATTTTATTTTATTTTATTTTATTTTATTTTATTTTATTTTATTTTATTTTATTTTATTTTATTTTATTTTATTTTATTTTATTTTATTTTATTTTATTTTATTTTATTTTATTTTATTTTATTTTATTTTATTTTATTTTATTTTATTTTATTTTATTTTATTTTATTTTATTTTATTTTATTTTATTTTATTTTATTTTATTTTATTTTATTTTATTTTATTTTATTTTATTTTATTTTATTTTATTTTATTTTATTTTATTTTATTTTATTTTATTTTATTTTATTTTATTTTATTTTATTTTATTTTATTTTATTTTATTTTATTTTATTTTATTTTATTTTATTTTATTTTATTTTATTTTATTTTATTTTATTTTATTTTATTTTATTTTATTTTATTTTATTTTATTTTATTTTATTTTATTTTATTTTATTTTATTTTATTTTATTTTATTTTATTTTATTTTATTTTATTTTATTTTATTTTATTTTATTTAACTTTATTTTATTTTATTTTATTTTCTTTTATTTTATTTTGTTTTATTTTATTTTATTTTATTTGGCTTTATTTTATTTTATTTTATTTTTTTTTTATTTCATTTTATTTGATTTAGTTTTCTTATTTTCTTTTAATTTAAAATATTTTATTTTATGTTAAATTAAATTCAGTTGAATTTTATTTAATTTTAATTATGTTTATTTTATTTAGTTTTTATTAATTTGATTTAGTTTAGTTTAATTTTATTTAAAATAATTTAAGTCAACTTAATTTAATTTAATGTAGTTATTTTTAAGTTTTATTTGAAATTTTACTTAAATTTATTTTATTTATTCTACTCTATTGTATTTTTCTTATGTGTTTTTTCTTTTTTAAAATTGTTTATTTTTTTTTTTTTGTCTTTTTGAGTTTGGTTTTCATTCTTATTTTCGTTTAGTATCGTTAGTTCAGTATATTCTATTGCGTATAGTGTTTTTTAACTATGTCTTATATTTTTTATTTGATTTAATTTTTTTTTATCATATGTGATTTTAATTTATTTTGATTCGTTATTTTATTTTGCTTAAAATTTAATTCAATGTTTTTTTTATTTTAATTTGTTGCATTTCATCTTGGCTTGTTTTAATTAGTTTAATTCATAGTTTCATCATTTTATTGAACTCTGCGAGAAGTAGCTTCAGTAGGGTAACAAAAGTCATAATATATAAAATTTTTCTTAATTTACTAATTTGGCTTACATTTTTTTGCTCTGTCACACCCTGTATCATAGATATACATTAATACCGTTAATTTAATGTTTTTGAGTAAAAAAATAAAACATGTAAATAATTCATAATAACAGCATTGTAATTTAATTTAATTAGTTTCTTCATTAGGTACAATAATTCATTAGTGGAAATGTATATTGAAATGCAAATACATGTATATATTTTTTTATTTTAACTCTTATGCTTGCACGTTTACACATCAAACAATGCATATTAATATAAACAAGCGAGCGAAAAAGTACTTGTATAGAGATAATTATTGTATATGGAGTAAAAACAAAGAAAAACAAAGCATATCCGTAGGCGCAACATAATAGAATTGAACAGAATTCAATTATTTGCCATGCGTTAGAAGCTAGAGGCAAGGGAAAGGAGTCGTTGAGTCTTTGTACTGAGTTTGCCAAAAAAAAAAAAAAGAAAATATGTTCATGCAAGCTTAAATATATATATATACATTTACGACGAATTGAGTGAGGTGAGCGTGTAATTAATAATTACGTTTAAATAAATAAACAATTCAAGGCTTATTGACATAAATGGAAGTTGGCTTATTTTTATTTACTTTGCCATTTAAAAAAAACTTTTCTGCATGGAAAGGGATTTTTAATTAATAAACTGAAATGGCATTGGGGTTTTTAGGGTATTGTAAAATTTTGTGAAATTTCAAATTTTAAGTGAATTTTGAATTTTTACATTTATGAGGCGGAATGTACTCGTATGTGTGGAAGTGGAATTGAATTAACTATGGGAATGTGTTCAATTCAGAGTTTAATAATTGAGTAATAAATGCGTGGTTTATAATTTTCGCAAAGCCAAATTAATTTAGAAATGCTGATTTATGCAAATAGACGGCTTTTCATGCATGAAAATGCAAATACGAAAAAATATATGCAAATATGAAAAGAGGCGTAATAGCTAGTGAACTAAACGAAACAAAAGGTTATAAATTGGAAAAAAACGAAAATGGATTTGTTAAAAATAAATAGTTTTGTTAAAAAAATTTAAAAAAAATACAAAATTGATATGTGTGTTAAACACGAAAATTGTATAAAATAAAATTAATGCTAAATAAATAATTAATAAAACAAACGAATAAAAAAAATAAATTTTTAAATTAGACTTATTTAAACAATAAATAAAATTTATGCTTTATACTACTTATTTAAAAAAAATATATTTGTTTTTTCCTTAACTCAAAACCTATTTATTAAAGGTATTGTATTTAACAAAATACTTATTAACAATTATATTAAAAAAATATTTAATCATCATGTTACTGTACTTACATTTATCTTGACGTCTGCGTCGACGACAGATGCATATGATGATGCAACAAATGATTATCACCGCTAAAAGCAGCGCTAATATTGAGGCAATCAATATGATAAGTGTTGTCTTATCCCAACGTTGCCACCATGCCAGTTGTTCTGTAGAGTAAAATGCGTATTATATTAGTCAAAAGTTGATAATTAATGTAATTAAACACACTTCAGTGGTTGTACAAAAACAAAAAAGAGTAAAAAAATTTAACAAAATGTAATTTTTATGTTATTCTTGGATTTATAGTGATTGGATAAAAAGGTAGGTAATGAAAAGTCCAACACAAAGTTTACAAAATTTTAACAATTTGTTGCCCAACTTGTGAAAGTGTAATGAACTCATGTTTATTTGAATTTTTTTTTTTAAAGCGATTATTAGGTGTTTAGAATAAAATCATCTAAACTAAAAAAAAATAAGTATACTGCATAAATAAAATCCGTTCAAATTTTCACTTCTCAAAGTGGAAAATATACAAAAAGCTCTAATTTGTATCAAAAGCTCAGTTTTATGTCAAAAGCTCTCATCGAGGCATGAGTTTCGATTGGTTTAATTTTATAAAAACCTCTCACGTGTATTAAATGCTAACTTTCGTGTGGAAAACTTTGACTGATTTTATTCCAATTTAATTTAACTCCATATAGAGTACGCGAAAAACGCATCCGGTGCTTGTGGTCAGAAGGTAAGGGAAAAAACTTTAAAAAAATATTTACAAAAGCTTTTCTCTAGTATTGTGGGCTTTTGTTTTATATGTCTGTAAAAAAAATCTCAATAATCTATAAGACTTACTTTTTATAAAATTTAAAACAAGTCGAATTATGATATGATTAAAAAATATTATTAGTTAGTATTTGTAGAGAGTAGAGGGAGCGCAAAATGGTGAGTGTAAAAATGGAGTGAATACAGTTAACAAGAAAAAATTAAATTAAAATTACTGTAAACCAATTGAAATATGTGATATATGATATTTATGCTCGTCAAAGAATTTTTTTTTAACTAAAAACATACACTTATACCTAACTCCATTTATACTTTTACTCAAATAAATACTAGATGGCGCTATAGCTGGGTTTTAAAATTCTATTTTTGATATGGAAATTTGAGTATAGTTGAAAAATATGCAAAAACACTATTCAAAGAAATTTCCCAATGCAATATTCGGAATAAACTTCTTGCATTTTTTAAGCCACATACAATTTTGGGTATTGTTGAAAACTATTTCACGCTCAAATACTTGGCTGAGGCTGCTTAAAAAAGAAAATTGCAACTTAAAACATATATTTTCCATAAAGAAAGTAAAAAATAAAAATAAAAAAAAAATTACCAGTTTTAAGTTACATATTTTCACTCTCTTTTCAGAAGAATGCATGTGACTACTAAATTTCTCATACAAACAAATGTATAATTCACGTAACACAACAATGCATTCTGTTGTGATTATTTCTTTTATTTATTTATACTGTATGCATGTATGTGTAAACTTATTACTTGTAAGCTGAAATATGTGTGACATGCTTTTCCACAAGTATTTATTCAACAAATGAATAGTACTTCCCCAGCAAAGGGTATGTCTATGTATGTGTGTATGCCTTTACGCATTTCTAAGTAATTGTATATACCTGAGTGTATGTGAATAAGCTTGAAAGCTTGTGAGGAGTACGTAATGTGCATAAGACCTGAGGAAAATGAACTTGTTACTAGTGCTACTTTATATACTTTTCATATGAACTGAACTACTCCCGTTTGCACGAACATTGAATGAACTCTTTTCTTAACTCTTTAAAAGTAAAATACAAAAATGCCCAGCCCATCTTTTAAGCAAAAGCTACAATCGCTATTTCACAGAAAATGCTCTAAACGGACTCTCAAGTATATTTTTGAATTCTGCAAAGTAATTTTTCTTATTTAAAAAATGTGGAAAAAGCAAGATTTTTAACGAATTTATGAAGCTAATACTTATGATTCTTTTTTTTAAATTTCAAAAAGTATACTTCGCAAAGAAATTTTTTATATCTGCAATTAAAATAAAAATTTTCATTAAAAAATTGACTGTCTGCTCCACTTGAAACTATTTGTCATTTATTCATACTCAATCCAAGCGAGTTAAAACCAAACCCGGATTATTCTCTTTATAAATTGGTAACAAAATATTATATTGGGTTGTCTTATGTTTTACATTGATGGTGCCTGCACACGGCAGCAAATATTCATAGCATACTTTGTGGCGTGTGGTAGCCTAACAACAATGGTGTTCAGCCATTGGAATTTTGAATGAAATGAGTGCGAAAAAAATACTAAGAACTAATAATATTCAAATAGATGCTGTATAATTGACTAGGAAATTGACGAACATGGGAAATGAATGAATGAAATATATATTAATTAAAGAATTGATGTGCTTATATGTATAAATACACACATATTTTCAAATAAAAATTCTCTATTGTGCAAATTTACAATTTTCATATGTTTCAAATTTCAAAAGAACTACATTTTTTTTTCAAAATTTTCTAAAACAAAATTTTATTCACAACGTTATTTGGAGTCAGAACGAACTTTGTGTATGTTCAGTTGAGTCTGTATAAAACTGTGCCAGTGCCAGTGTAAAGGAATAACTAAATAAATAAACTAAATAATAATTGCAGGAACCCAAAATAGTACGGTAATTAGGAAGGTAGTAGTAGTTTGTATATATGAATACCATTAAATGATAAATATTCATGCTGCAAATATTTTTTAAAACAATACTTTAATATTATTGAAAGTAATAAAAAATTAAAAAAAATCATCCCACAAATAAATGCAAAAGAAATATTTATTAATAATGATGAATACACAGTTCCATTTAGTTATACTGGATTATAGGTGCATTTACTTATACTTACTTTTTGGTCGCACTATTTTGTGTTAGTTAGCAGTTTTACGTTGTAAATTTTGGTGATTTTCGCAAGCATTTAAATTTTATTACATTTTTTTTTGTATGTTAATGAGGGAATTTTTTTAAGAATATGTTTTTATATATTATATGAGCGTAGGATTTGAAGAGATGAGAGAAGCAAAGATGGAAATAATGAAATTTTAATTAAATATACATATATAATACGTAGAAATATTGTGAGCTTAGATACTAAATAGTAGCAGCAGGCATTTGTCGCCTGCCAATTTATATCCTTTGGGAAAATAACCATTTTGTAGCAATAAATGTAAACTTAAAAATTGCAGAAAACTCGCAGAAAGCAATAAAAATACACTCTACATCAGTTAGAAATTAGAACGATTAGAATGATATGGAAAACTATTTAAAGAGTGGAAGTGAGTATCCTATGAAAGGTCCTGATATTTAAATGTTAGATGGAATAGAAATATTCAGAATTCATAAATAATAACAACTTTCTATTTGATAATTTTCGTGTTTGTGAAAAAAAATCAGCACAAAATTCAAATAAAATGTATTTAGAAAAGGCTCAGCGTGGTCAGTATAGTAAATTTGCATAAAAGGACATCGAGCTCATACTTTTAAGAAATAGCGTAATCAAAAAAAAGATTCAATTCTTGCAAACATAGTAACTTTACTTTTAACGGTATGTTTTAAAATTCAAAAAGTACCAGAATCCCGTCAGTCGACTGATCTAAATGGAAGATATATGTAGTTTAAGGAATAGTAGTAGCTTTAAGGGGAAAAAAAGCTGCCCCCGATCATAAAGTTTTCAAAAATTAAATAAAAGTTATTGCATAATTATCATATTTGACCCAGCGTTTATTGCACAATTTTAATATATTTTTTTACGATATTATTCATTAATTTATGTATAAAGAAAAAATATGGCTTCTTGTCTGTTTTTAAAATTTTTTTAGAATTTTTTTGGAGGTAAAGCAAAGCAATTTTCTTTGAATCTTGAAGCAGACGTCAAAAATTTGAAGCAAAAAGTTCTAGTTATCTAGAAGCAGCGATTCTTCAAACTAGATTAGCTAATGAGCATCCTCAGATGTGCCGTATAGTGCGCACCGAAGACATCATTGCTGCTGTGGAGTGGAGTATCGAAGAAGACCCGAATGAGAATCGAAGAAGACCCGAGTGAATGAGTCCATACGCCATCTACTTTATTACTTTGCGAAAAGATCTTAGCTTACGGACTTACAAAATCAAACTCGTGAAAGATTTGAAACTGAATGACAAAAAAGCACGTCATATGCTCAATGAATGGTTCCAAATGAGGTGACTCACTTTTTGTTGTATGGATATGTTAATAAAGAAAATTGTTGCATTTAGAGTGATTATATTTAACAAACCATTTATTGTTGAAACACTGTGAAAAATCCTCAAACGTCACTGTTTTGTGGGCTCAATGGGCAGAAGAAATCCTTGGTCTATATTTATTAAATAATAGAAAAGTCGATCGTAATGTTATAACCGATGGAGAATGTTTATAGCCATGATTATTGACTATCGTTTCAGAATTAAAGAATTTTGATGTGGACGATCATTGGTTCCAACAAGATGGTCCTAGACTTAATATAGCAAATGACCAATCAATTTATTAAAGGGGATTTTCGGTGAACCCTTAATTCGTACGATTCAACACTGCTAAACTAGTTTTTGTGGGGTTATTGGAAGTCTTGTTTGCTCAGATGAGCCTTTTCATTCATATGGCGTTCTCATAAGGATAGGTCGCATCAGCTGACTCGCTATGTCTTTTACTGGTTGAGCAAAGAATATAAGTTTAAGTTGGAAAAAGAATGAAGACGAGAATATCGCGGACGCATAAATACGTATATTTCATGCTACAATCATGACATTCACTGTTTAGTAAGAACGCGTAAAAGTGTTTATATTGTGAAGTATTTGAAATGAGTTAGGAAGTTTTAGGTGGGAAGCTCCTTTTAGACTCTGTATTTCCTTGGGATTTAAAATGTAAGGTTCAGAGAGTACAAGAATATGTGGAACTTACAAGTGTATGCGTTCACGGTGTATAAGATATATGTTTGTATTGTACATCGCACAGCAATTGTATTTTGTTGGAGAAGGGGAAAAATGTGTAAATTGAGTACAAAACAACAAAAACATTGAAGGTGAACAATTAACACCAATTAAAATTAAATTTCAATATTAAATTCGGTTAAAGTTGAAAGAACTATTTATTACCTTGCCACCAGACATACAAGGCTGATCCCGCTGTTTTAAATAAAAAAAATCATAAATTATGCAAAACATGAAGAGAAAAAACTTAAGTGAACTAAGAGTACTTAATATCTAAATTATATGTAAATTTAATGCAAAATAAAATACAGATTTAAAGAAATCCAGCAAATTTTTTATTTTATTTTAATTTATTTTTATTTCTTTAATACAAAGAAAATCCGCTTAAATGCTTTCAACAGCTGTGGTCAAACCAATTTTCGTATTAAAGATAATAAAAACAGAGAAAACTTAGACTTAGATTACTTCACTGTTGTTCTTTTAACAACCATTTCTACTGCCCGCCTTTTGTTTTATTCCCTCATACGCCCGGCAGCGCTCAATCGCCATACCCGCTTTTGAATTAGAAATCCGTTAAAAAATCGCATTTTAAGCGGCTTAAAATATATGCTGCTGTAAGAAATTGATTCGCCATGAAAGAAATGTTGAATTAAGCTAAAGTCAAAGAGCGCTAGAGCGAGGCGGAGAAAGAGAAAGAGAGGGAGAAGGAGAAAGAGCGAGAGGAATACTGAGCGAGCAAACGTCTGGCCATGGGGTAATGGTAAAACAAATCCAATTTCCGTTTCCGTTGCGGTGTAGCCGAAGAGAATTTAAAAATAATCGCAATGCTGATGACCACCAATGTGTAACCACCATCGGATGTATAGGCAGGCGGAGGGCGTGTGGCAAAATGAACGATGATGGTATCAACATTGAGTCTGCTGAAGGGCAGGAGAACAGTGTGGCTAGCGAGTACCGTTGCCGCAGCTTCGTGACTCTACGGGTGAAGCACGTCAGCTGCATAATAAAAATCTAAACAATTCCCTAATTGCCAATGTCGGCACACCAGCTTGTGGATGAAGCATTGAATGGCAAGCAAATTACATTGCAATACTTTCCTATAAGCAAACGTTTGAATAGATGAATAAACGAATGTATGCACGAACGAACGGACTGAGCATTGACTGAATGACTGGCTGGCTGAGTACCGTTTGGCGTTTGAGTGTGTCGGTGCTGGGTTAATACTTATTCATTGCTTATTCTATTGTATATAAATATGTATGCCATATTTCGACAATTTCTGTACTTTTCCTGCTCTTTCTCTACCTCTCTCTCTCTCTCTCTCTTTCCCTCTTTTTCGCTCTCTCTCTCTCTCTCTTTCCCTCTTTTTCGCTCTCTCTCTCTCTCTCTTTAATCATCAGCTGATTTTTGCACTTGATTTTATTTAAAAATATTTTCAATTGTAAGATATACTTTCGCTGCTACAATTGCTATTTGTTGTTGGCATTGTTGTTGCGAATGCATTGACTTAGTTCCTGACTGTTAATGGCGAGCAGCCATGTGTAGCGTGTGGCGGGAATAACGCCAGCTGAAACAAATATTGACAGTAATCAGCGCCAACCATTGCTGCTAACGGTAGCACACGGCTGACAGCTTCCTCTCTATGGAGGGAGCAGTTTTATTTTATTATTTTCACCACATCAGCTGCTTTAGGTTTTGTTGTTGCCAGTGCTAGTGGTATTGTTAGAATGATATAGTAACGTGAATGTTGGGAATATAGTGTAATATGGCAGGTATTTAAAAGCAATAACTAAAGATGAGCTGCACGGACGAGCAAGTGGCGGCGGCAGCACATCAGTCAATTGCAACTACTCGTAATATTGGTGCACTGCAGCCACAAGCGTTGATTTGCTTTATGAGTACTTTCGCTGGGTTGACATACAATAATTCACTATTGATATTGGCATGTTGCAAGTTGCAGAAATTGATATTTATTACTACAGTTTCTATTAGAGTTATTCGCTTACAAATGGCTTACGATTGCAATGCAGTAAATGAAAGCAAATAACTCATTTGATTCGGATTGAAGTATAAAGAAATGTTATAAAAAGTAATAGTTTAAAGCATTACTTGTTGAAAATAAAATCAGAAATATTGTTTTAAACTAAGAAAAATTATAAAAGATTACGCTATAAAAGAAATATTGAAGAATCCTTCATTTACAAAGCAGGGAAATAAAATATTTACTATATCAGAATATTTTTTAAAGGTCGTTATTAGAATTCTACAGTCAATAACTGCTTAGTGTTATCGATTAACCCTCGCAAGAGTCATTCTACAGCAAAAATTCAAAAGCCTGTTGCTTCTCTAAGAACGATTGATTTGTAAGACTTTTTCCATTGCATAAGCTGTTCTATCTAAAAGCTTAGGTTCAACTAAGTTGAGGCAGCAAAAAAAAAACATTTTATGGAGCATTGAAATTTATTCCAATTTATAACGTAGTATTTGGGAAATTTTTTGAATATTTTTATATAAAATATTACCCTTTTTAGTGAAAGAATGAAAAAATTAATATATACAGGGTTGCCCAAAATTTACATACTAATTAAATATGACCCCAATTATATTGCAAAGAGTAAAAAAAAAGAACTAATCGATGGATGAAAGTTTAGGCTTAGCAAAAATGAAGCATCCGTGTCTACATTGTTGAAAAATATTTCAAAAATAATAAAAGCTTGGCGATCGCAGTTCCAAAAATTCATACAAAATATGGTCGAAATAGTGTTTTGACTTCGTCAACTGCGAAGAGATTAATTGAAAAGTTCCACGAGACAGTATCCATTGGAGACGTCAATACTCATTGGTCGTCGAAAAAAAAAGAGTCGTTCAAATGACAATATCGAAGCAGTGCATGAGAGTGTCAATGAGAATCCAGCAACCTCAATTGAATTGACAACGCGAACAATAATTGCAAACTTTAAGAAGTTCTCTACAGTGTATGCTCAGTACAGATCGGTGTCTCAATGTTTACAAAAATTAATTAACAGAACAACTGAACCCTAATGACCATCTACCGTTCAGAAAATTTGATGGATGGATTGTTAAGCATCAACAAAAGGATGCTGATTTTTGGAGCAAAATCATGCTAAGCGATTAAGCACATTTTCACCTTAATGGGATTGCTAATTGCCAAAAATTGCTACTTCTGAAGTTCTGAGAACCACTGGTGATTGTCGAGAAGCAAATGCAACCACAACTGTATTACTGCTTAATGTGTTGTTTAGGCTCGAGGTATAATTGGACCATACTGTTATGTAAATGAGGCTGCTCAAGCAGTAGCAGCATCATAATCATTTTGCCAAAATTAAATAATATTGATGTAGTCAATATGTGCTCTCAACAAGACGGTGCCATACAGCCCACCTCAAACAGAAACACCTAAATTATTGCTGAAAAAATATCCAGGTCTTCTCGTTTTGGTAATCAGAACTGACTCCTAGACCGTGACATTAAAGCTGATTTGCTCAAGCAGCTCTGAGCAGTCTACTAAGTCAATGATGACGTAATAACTAAATAGTAATGACTGGATAGATCCTCGAGAGCAAGAAATTTCAGATTCATTAACATACATCGAAAAGTATGAGGTGGTAGGGGATCAGAAAAGAAATGAAGCGCAGCAAGAACAAAACAAGTAAGCCCACGTTGCATGGTTTTAAGTCCAGAGGAATGCGTAGAATAAATTAAATTCCAAATAAAGCTGGCATAATTCAGCTTTCAACGAACTAAAGAACTATGTGACTTCTGGCTCTGTCAAAAACTCAAGAGACCACTTCGAGGACTCTATTTTGAGTCGATTGGGGTGATTAATATATACAATTTTAAACGCGTAGGGATCTTTACCATGTCACCACTATGAGCTTTTCACCTACAGCTAAACTCTTAATTCGGACATGTACCATCATTAATTGGACCGTCTGAATGAAGCAATCGCGTAGAAGTGCCCAGCTTTGGTCAATAGGAGAGGAATTGTATTACAGCAGGATAACGCCAGACTATAAATGTAGATAATGACTCTTGAGAAGTTCCAAGACCTTAGGTGGCCTCAAGAGAAGGCAATGAAAATCCATTTTTTCAAAAAGGGATTGGGCTCTCTATGAGACTGAAATAATGAGATTACCTTCAAAATGGCAAAACGTTATCGAGGAAAGCGGTGCATATATGACAGAGATCGCATAATTCCAAAATTGATAAATAGAGTCTTTAATTAAATGCAAAAAAAAATGCAATGCATTATGCTTTCAACCAGACCAATATATTCAATTTCCCATTCGGTTTCTGTTTGTGCTAAGCATAATTTATTGTTTTTTTATAACAAAAAAATAGCTATTCTTCGGTTATAAATTTATTTAGTCACTGAAAATGAGTCCTGGTCACACTGCGGTTAATCAAGGTTTCAGATTGAAATTAAATCCACAAAAATAAAATTTGTGCATACGCACTTTAGACATATATACATACATATATCTGTAGTTTCCTACCTGAATGGAAGATAACTAGTTCTTAGCTCAATTTAAACCTTACATATTTTTTAACACTTTAAGATTTTATATACGTATTTACAGCTTCATATGGTCCTATTTACACCGTGAAAAGCTAATTTGGTAATATGAACTTTTATACTGTGACACCCATAATACAGTTATTAAACGTAAATATTTTTTATTTCATATTATCTCCTTAAAAAACATTTATAGCCATAAATGCTTTCCCAATTTTCATGTCAGAAAAGCAATTACCGAAACCCACACAAAATCATATCAACTCCATACTAAGCACACCTATACGTACATATATATATATGTCTACATATGTATGTATGTCTACGTATGTATGTATGTGTACATTTGTATGTATAATTACATATGTATGTGATTATTGAGCCACCACAACTTACATATATAAGATATGTACATGTGTGTGTGTGTGTGTGAGCACACCTTTAAATATTACGAAAACTGAGATAACTGACCACCATTTCCCCACCCACACAATACTTACCAGCCACTTCGATTTCACAGAATGTCCCCGGGCCGACGGTGTTATTGGCAACGCAACGATATGTGCGTGCAATCGCATAATCATCGTCCAGCACATAAAAACTCTTTTCGGCAAAACCTTGACGCTCGCCGCTGCCCAGCCATTCGGCGCTGTCATTTTCCGCTTTAATTGACCATGAAAAATCAGCCTGAAATGGATAGAGGAAAAATACAAAAATAAAATAAAATAATGACAACAAAAACAACAACATCGGCAATAATAATAATAATAATAAATACAAATACAAAAACAAATAAGTAAATAAAGCAATAAAATTCGGGAATGTATATGAATATACACGTGCGTTTCTCTGTGTGTATGTGTGTGTATGCAATAAAATATTTACATTTAAACGTTTTTGTCACTGTTATCATCCTGTTTTTTTTTTATTACTTTTTATTACTGTTTGCATTGTGCATTGATTTTTATTTTTGCCTGATGGTGATGGGTCGGTTATAAATACTCGATTGTTTGATTAAGAGTAAGCCAAGCAAAAAGTATTATATAAATACATATTTTGTATGCATTTAAATGTAATCATGTGTATACGAGTATATGTGTGTATACATGTATGCGTTGTGAGTATAGTATTTTCATATCCACTCAATTTCTTGCCGACAAGGAAGTCAATTTAAATACCAATCCGCATAAATATCAACACAAAAATGCATATAAAAATGTTCCAAGCACTCATATGTATGTATGTAGGTATGTACATATTCATGAATGCCTGTTTCAATTTGTTTTTTGTGTATTTTTCGATAAATCATTGCAGCAATCCTTTGTTTCACTGCACGGGGAATTGGTTTAAACTGTTGTTGACGAATAAAAGTGCTGCTTGACTGAGATAAAAAAATATAGACTTGGTATCTGTACTTGGTAGATTCGTGCCACCGGATTCGAAAGGCAACAAAGCGTTATCTTGCGAAAGTACAGATATACCTATAAGTTTATTCGTATTCTTATATTATTTGCTACCATGTTTATTTTCTAACAGCTTCGCACATTACCTGCTTCCACCAAAACATTTTATACGATAAAAACTTGGGTCAAGTAAAAGGTCATTCATTATTACTGAAATATTCGTAGATTGCGCAGAATGGCGGTAGAAAGATGATATTTTCTACTAAATAAGATAACAGAAAAAGTGTTGAACACAAAAATTTCTATGATTGACAATTTTTTTCGACAAAGTCGAAAATTGAAGTTAGACAGATGAAATTTGATTTTTATGGTCCTCCTACGGTTGCCCAAATCTTCGATAAAATAAAAGATCTACATAGCATGATCGTCATGCGAGCACTGTTTTGAATATTTAGAAGCTAAACATTGAGCAGTTGGCACCACTTGAAAGCGGCTATAAATTGAATATATCTGTTACATCAGCAACTAGACCCTTTAAAGGGAGCAATCGCGCAAAAGCGCATAACTTTGGCCAACAGGAAAGGAAAAATGTGTTTTATCAGGACAACGCCAGACTGCAGACTGATAGTGGTGCGCTACACACTGCGAGACCTTAGCTGGGAGGCTCTTACGCACGCACTTCATAGTCCGAACGTCGCACCACATGATTTCCATGTATTCCTGTCTATGGCGAATTATTTGACTGGTGAAGAATTGGTCTCAAGAAGAGCCTCTGAAAAAGGATTGCCAGAAATTTTTGCCAATAAGGACAATTGTTTCTATAAGAGAGGCATAAGGTCATTTCACCATAAAGTTATCGAGAAAAACGGTATACATTTGATTCAAACCGAATAGTTTTAGTTACCATAGCTAAATCTTATTCGTTTTCTAAAAATAATGTAGAACTTGTTACTTGACCTAATATATGTATATATAGTGTGTTTGGACTATACTGTAAAGCAATCCCTTGAGATATTCTTTGGTTCCATTCAATATAGGAAATGTCTAGGTTGTTATTTAGAGCAAAGTAAACCAAGTCTCCGTCAGCACTTAAGGCTGTGGAATTTCGAGACTGAAATTTTATAGTAAATTTTTCACACATTACAAAAAAACTATTAATTGTGTGCTATAGTTATACAGCGGCCTAAATGAAATTATTTAGATGAAGGAATGTATACGAGTATATGACGATTTTGGCATAATTTTGCGAGCTAAGAGACAGCGATTACGTTGGCTACGGCATGTCGTTCGTAAAGGTAAAGGAACTCTAACTTTGAAAGTATGAAATTTATTAATGTCTAATGGAAGCCATGCAAAAGAAATACATAGCTTCGTCCAATTGAAAAGTTCGGATTTAGAGTCCCCAGTCGTTATTTGGAGTCTACAATTGGCGCTCAATCGCGAATAGAGGAAACAACTGGGCGTCATTGCTGACTGATCTCAGCGATGTTGAAGCCACTTAAGAAAAGACAAATTACATGGAAAATGTTACATATTGAATACAGAGCGCAATAGATTTTATACAGGGATGCTCTATTACCGTTACTTCAATTTTATGTCACAATCGCTTCAAAAATCACCTCACTGCAGAGTATTGAGTGAAATATGAGATTTACGAAAAATTACTTAAAAAAAACCAAAAAATCAAGAAATGACATATTTAAATGAATAAAAACATAACAGTTTTTGTCAAATTAGCCTTTAGGCTTTTGTGTCCAAGAAAACATTCTGCAAACAGTAGCCAGCGCAGAGTATTAAATTACCGTTCTCGATTTATGATATTTTTTTCTCTATTTTTTTTTTTTTTTTTGATTCCGGAAAGTGAAAGCTTAAGTGCTGACTGACATAAAAGCCTAGAGATGCAGCATTGAAATATGAAAGCTTCATGCATATGAAAGACATTTGAGGGTGGATAGATGCGGATGTCATTGTAAAAGTTTTACCAAAAGAACAAATATGTATGTATGTGTAAAACTGACGATGAAAAGTTTTACAACAAAAAAAAGCGGCACATTTTTTTGTTTTTAGTAAGCACAACTCATTCTATACAAATATACGAGATTTTGTACATATTTATGCTCATGCAGGCGGCTGCGATAGCTGAGTGGTTTGTATAGCATACTGCCAGTGTTCGAGTCTTGGTTCAACCAACATCCAAAATTATAGAAAATTTATTTTTCGGCAGGGAATGTCAACTCCTCCAGGTGTATTTCTGACTTCAAAAAAGGCTCCTCGCAAAAAAAAATCCGCCGTTCGGAGATGGCTTAGTATAAACTGTAGGTCCCTCCACAAAGTGAGAAAGGAGTTGAAATTCAGTTCAGCGGGTACGAAGCACCATTTATATATTGGTCTTATATAAATAGTAGTAGATATATAAATGGTTATGTACAATTAATCTGTATATATATATTTTTTTGAGTATTCCCAGATCATGATTCTCGCAAGTCGGTGCGTCTTTACCAGCGATAGAAATGCTATCGTGGTATTGCCATTACAGGGAAAGCAGCAAAAAAAAAAAAAAACAATAAACAACAACAAAAACAACAACTAGTATGCCAACCCAGGCAACTGTTGCAATATCAAACCAGTTGATGCATACACCCGCTCTAAGTAATAGCTGGTAAAGCGGGGGCCGACTCAGTCACTCAGGCGTACAACCATTCAACCAGTGAGCCACACGCACCCTTGTATACGAATATATGTATGTACAAAGGTATACGAACAAGGTTGTATACAACTTGCCTAAAGTATACTGGTGTGAAGTGCGTCCTTTTCATTGTACCTCGCTAAAGCTTTCCGCATACATCCACACAAACAATACTTACATAAGAGCACATACATACAAACACACGTAGATATATGCTTACATACACATCAATGCACATATCCGATTTCCGAGCGTATCGTACTCAAACTATTCGCGGTTCAACGGTACGGCACGGCACGAGACGGTAGTTACTGAGTTGGCCGATGCCGCTTTTCCGCCGTAGCAATCAGCAGCGTTCACAAGAAAAAAATGCATACATAGCATACTTTACGGCGTGCAGCGTGAAGCGTGCTTATTTCTGTTGGTTTGTGTGGCACACACGCTGCAAAGCATTGAACGTAACGAAGAATTGGGTTGTAATATGTGTGTATGTATCTGAGTGGGTGAGTGTGTCGTCCCTTGCAAAAAGGGTGGCTGCAGTTGGCCTTTCGGTTTATGTAAGCGTGCATGTATGTGTGACTATATTGCCCAAATACCACAGTGTGCGGTTATAAGCTTACATGCTAGTACATACCGACATATAAACGAATATATATTATATCGACGTGTGTGTGCGCGTTTGTACGCTCGTGTGCTTACCTCTAGAGGATTTCCGAATGCTGTGCAAATTAGTGTATCCTGGTCATCGATCTCGTGCCTTTCAATTTCGCAACGTGGCTTAACTGCATGCAGACATGCAATCAGCAATGCCAAAAATCCAAAATGGTGCAACAAGGAAAAAAGAATCAACAACAGCAACGTCAACATCATTGGCAACGGCAATAACAGCAAGGGCAGTGACAGAAATGAAATCCACGTACATCGTTGTAGCAGCGTGTTTGTAGTCAGCGGTCAGTCGAATTGTATATATACATATATCCAAGTTGCGTAGGTTACATGGAAATAGAATGAGAGGGAAAAAACAGCAAATCAGAATATGGTGAGAAATTCAAATATTATCTTTGGAACTAACATGTAAATTAACTAAAGGAAATGTGGCTTAAAAATGTGTGTTGATCTCAAACTAAAATTATACAACTATCGAAAATAACATATAAAAATATTGGAATTTTAATTAATAATTATACAAAAATATTGAAAGAGCAAAAAGAAGGGCACTTTAATTTTTATATCCGATAAATATAACATTTTACATCAAGAGCTCACTGCCTCCATACAGACGTCATTTTATAAAACCTGAAAGTTTGCCTGCACATGTCATCAACATCGGTACGAACGGTGATGCGACCAAGAATTTGGGAATTGTTTACTTTGCCAGATAAGAACTAATAAAGATGCTAAAAATAGCACCTCAGATACACTAAAGCATAAAGGTCAGATTCTCCCGAATAATTTATAAAAGGACCTTACCAAAAAACTCTCTAAAATTTGCATTTAAATTTAATTGATTTATGAAAAAAGTGCATGTAAAAAGAAGTATGATATTTTCAAACCTAAAAATAAATTAAAAAATAAATTTCAAGCACGTAAGGTTGTAGGTGTCCCCATGTAAGTATACCGTCTTATATATTTACATAGTGATACCTAAAGTTATGCTTTTAATTGAAGATCACCTGTACTGTTTTTGATTATTCACACCTATTCGGAGTAGGAATGCAAAAAATTTCGGCTAGTGGATCAGGAAATACGAGATGTGGTAATAAAGTAATGTGACTTATTATGTTGCCGTGATTGTGGTAACCCTGCGACCTTGAAATTCCCTTTACCTTCTCCCGGCATTCTTCTACTCTCCATTGATATATTTGCCAAAGCTCTAGCTACTTTAGTTTGCATGTGTGTTGAGTAAACCAGTATTCGTGGAGCTCGCCACAAAAATAGAAAAACGAAAACAAGAGCAACGCGTCGCGAAACAATTTTGCGTCAAATTGGGCGAAAAAGCTTCGGAAACGTACTCGTAAATTGTATAATGGTATCACCATGCTACCAGGAAACCAAACGCCAAAGCTCACAATGGTTGTTATCGCACGCCCCACGTTCGAAAAAAACCCGCATGAGCAAGTCTAAGATGAAAACGATTTATAGTTTGACTTATATGCTGACTGAAGCTGGAACACTATAGTAAGTCAAATGAAATCTGTTACCAAGGTGATTAGAAACCGAGCAACGCATGGTGTGAAATTACTTGCAGTGAATGAAGCCGCATTTATACGAGTGGCGGCTGACTTTTTCGCGACCTAAAGTACTTAATGAAACATATGTGAAGTTGTATTTTTTTTATTTTTCAATTTAGTCTGCCTCAAGTGAGACACAGACAGTAAACACTATATCTAAGTGAGGGAAAAAATAACCTTCGTTTCGTTGTAAATTATTGCAAGAAAATATGTTATTCCTCTTGGCTTGAGAATGGCTTGAGAACGGCTGGACCGAATTGGCTAAACTTTGTTGATAAAGGCTTTTATGGCAGAAAATCAAACTTCTTTCCGGAAAGTTGGCCAGAATCGATTTATATGAAATTATCTGATAAATGACTCTATTCGCTTGATATTTAATTGCTTGGTAGTTTTTTTGCTCGGATTAGTATGCATTAAATTGATCTTAAATATCTAATTAATGGTTTAATTTGCTAGAAACTCTTTTCTTTCCGAGAAAATGCACCTAAAATCGAGCTGTTTGGAAAAAATCTACTATACTTATGGTTAAGTTTGCTTGACGAAACCAAATAAATGAATTTTTCTTTCCTGAAATGACAAAACATAAAGTTGGAGCGATAGTTCCTTTAGAAAATCTGTAATAATCAAATACGAGAAAGACACGCAGAAGAGATTGAAAGAATTGTATTCATGATTTTTGAATGATTAGTGTACGCTGAATGTTTGCGGGCTGGCACGGGTTAACGGGGCATTGCCTTTTGACATCGCATGACTTTAATATATGTAGGCCTGACTCCGGAGTGTCTAGCATTCGACCGACGTAGCCTATGGTTTTTTTCGCAAAAAGGCTACAGGACCTTCAATCGGCAATGTGCACGGCTCAAATCGACTACTTCAATTTACTAAAAATACCGCAATAATCTTCAAAGCAGAGATACAATAAGTGTGTAGTAGTGCAGCTTGGTCGTATGCAGTCTGGCAACACTATGGGCATATAGGTTGTCAAATATCCCCTCCGCTTTTTTGCTCTTCATTCAATGCTTTATAAGAAGTGTTACAAAGTGTAAAATATGCGCCGTTTTGTTCGATGATTTGTTTCCATCTAGACGGCAACTTCATAATACCTTCCTCGTAGAAGCCCCCCTCCTTATTTGCGAAGAATTTGGACAGCCATTTTTCACAAGCCTATTTTGAGTTCAACTTCACATCACCAAGGGCATTCGCCATGGACAGGAACAAGTGGTAATTACTTGGCGCTACATCCGGGCTATATGGTGGATGCGATAAAACCTCCCATCCGAAGTCCCGTAGCTTCGAACGAGTCATCAACGAAGTGTGTGGTCTGGCGTTGTCCTGGTGGAACACTACACCCTTCCTGTTGGCCAATTCTGGACGCTTGTGGTCGATCGCCTGCTTTAAGTGGTCCAGTTGTTTACAGTAGATGGTAGAATTAAGCGTCTGGCCATATGGGAGCAGCCCATAGTGGATGATTCCCTTCCAATCCCACCAAACACACAGCAAAACCTTCCTGGCCGTCAATCCCGGCTTGGCCACTGTTTGGGACGATTCACCGGCCTTCGATCACGACCGTTTTCGTTTGATGTTGTCGTATGTGATCCATTTTTCGTCGCCAGTCACCATCCGCTTCGAAAATGGGTCGAGTTCGTTCCGTTTCAGCAGCATATCGCAGGCGTTGATTCGGTCTAGAAGATTTTTTGCGTCAAAATATGCGGCACCCAAACATCAAACTTTTTTTTGTATCCAGCCTTCTGCAGATGGTTCAAAATGCTTTGGTGACTAACTCGATTACCAACAGGTGTGGACGAGAAAAATCAGCCGCCTCTAATTTTTAAAGAGTGCAGAGGTTGGCTATCCTGTAGAGCATTTCGAACCACATCTACTGAGGGTAGGAATAAACAATTTCCTCTACTTCCTATTGAAATTATGGGGCTACATAAGGCTACCATAGTTGTCTTAAAGATATGACGGCTTACTGTATATCATTCACTGATTCCACGACAGATTTCAAAGCAATTATCCAGTTAGAAATCAATGGAACAGAACAATACCAGCAAGCGTAGACTCGTTTCATATGTTTGATACGGATGCGTAAAAACTAGAAAACAGCGCCGATTGCCGAGTTTACGCAAGGGATCTTAAGTATTTTCTAATCCCTCTATTTGCATGATCACGGTAGTGTTTTATAGGCGTGAATTGGCGGCTTTCAATTGTCTCTCTTGCTGGTGCTCCCAGAATGAATACGATCATAATTCGGAAGCCAGTTGCTTTAAGAGCATTCAAATCTCTAACTGTAAAATCGAAAACCGTAGAGAGTAACCTTAGATCACTAAACGTAATGGCTTAACAGTTCTCTTTGTATCTGGTCAGTAACATGCCGAGCTTTCAATAAAGAACACTTCTCTTCCATTTTCGTCCCAATGGCAGATTTTGGATATGCAGCTCTCCACTTATAAGATCACTATAAGAAAGTTATTCATCAAAGATGCTAACTCCAGAAGGAGAGCAGTGCAATGTCATCGGAGTGCGATAAAAGAAGTCACCTGACTTTATCGCGCTAAAAAAAGAGATATCTACAGTTATAGGTAGGTCTTCTTACAGAATATGTTTTATTAGGCGGGCAAGCAGAGCGGTTGGGCGTACCATCTAAAGATTACTGCAAAAGTTGCAGACATAATAGAAACTTGAAACCTTAGAAGTCTCCCTTTGCGAATATCACAAACAATGGAGGATTAGGTCGAAGTCTCTAGGGGCGGCAACCTTTGAAGACTTGAATGAAGATAAGACGATTACTCAGTATTGAGACGTCCACACATTGATTTGATGCAGAACTTGCGGTCTGTAGGATCCTCAGTCACTTTGGTGGCACAAGTGAGCGGATGCCCGGCTGCCACTACAATCAACCATTATGAGCTTTTCCTAAACAACAACAATTATTTTCCCAACAAACATACCATTTGTCTATCTGTAGGCGCAAATTACAAAATGTTAACATTTTATGTGCCATTATTGGCTGCAATTTTCTTGAAAATCCTCTTGCAAACCGATGTTGTAAATTATAAAATGAAATCTTTACTTTCACCACAATGCCAAGATTATATTTTCCCATTTGGCCGACTGACATATATGCAATATTGCTTTTCGACCACATAATTGAAATTGTGTGAAATTTTTTTGAATTCAATTGCACACAACATACACATACATACATAAGTGTAATTTCAAAAAAGGTTCAAAAGATTTTGCACTCAACCAACGCCATTTGGTGATACTTCCGGTCAATTTCAATTGAATACAAGCGACCCAATGCAATACCAACAAACCAGCTAAGCTCACCAAACTCAGCATAAACAGAGAGTATTAAATGTAAGTGAATGGCGTTGAAACTTTTCAATAATAAATATTAAATAGGCTTATCAAAGAGTGACCAGCTGCAAAAGTATCAGCCCCCACGCCACACATAAGCCAAAACCACCACCACCATCACCACCAGCGCAAAATTGCAAATGACAGTCACTGTGCAAGCTTAGCCAACATATTTGGGGCAACTTTTAAATGTTGCTTATATGGAAATATATATATCTATATATATAGAAGAGTATATAGTGTGTTGTCGCTGCTGGTTAAATTGCTGAAATTTATGGTTTTGAATCGTTTACCGCATACTTTTGTGTCAAATAATTTCACACAATAACAGCAAACAACTAAAAGCAAACGCAAATAATAGAAATATTAGAGAGCGCGGCAGGCAATCAAGAGTGAAACCACACACACATACACATATATATATACATATATACACCAGTATGTGTATATTCATATATTTTACACTATATATGCAGGGGATATAACAATTTTGTGGCTATGACTTGGCAACAACTGCCGAAAAAGGTTCAAATAAAATCTTTAGGATTTCATTGAAAAAATAAAAAAAATAAAATAAAATAAAATATAAAAATGAAGAGTATCAAAATGGAAATAATAATAAAATTCGTAGAATTATTCGGACAATTTCAAACACTTGCCGTCAATGGGCCACTCAGAACTCTACTCGCTTGACAAGCCGCCAAACAAAGCGTATGAAGGGACATTTTCAAATTTCACACATCCTTTCATATATGTATATACATACTCGTATTATCCAATTTTGTATTTTGTATTAGATGACGCAAATATTATACGCACATACACATACAAACATACAATTACATATGTAAGTATGTATGCGAGTATGCAAGTATGGCCATTGTGTGCATAAATTGTAAAATGTGTAATACAAATCCTGCTGCGTTGGCACTCATGGCTCCTGCACACACAACACGCTGTGCTATCGAATATTTTCAAGCGACTTTTATTTATTTTTTCTTTTATTTATTCTCTTTTCTGTTCTCACCATTTCAAAGAGGGTGTGCTCTCGAATGGCATGTGACAATTTCATAACGGTTGCAATTTCAAAAGCATTCAATTTTCTATAGAAAATAAGTTATATAATACTCCTGCCCAATGCCATTCGAAAAGCTGAAATTAAATTTACCAAATTCATCATAAAAAGAAATGTCCACTCACATTGTACATCAATGATTGTTTCGGCTGTACTCCGTCCATGCTTATTCGAGGCAACACATGTGTAAACTCCAGAGTCATTGCGTGTCATTGGCGTGTTGATGATTAACGCCTGATCCTGTCCCAATTTTGTATTGTTGAAAAACCAACTGTAGTGTGCGCCTGCAAAGTGAAAAAGTGAGAAAATGAGAAAATTTATTACCGTTTCAATGTTTCAATTGTTTTTGAACAATACAATACAAAATTTTACATAAAAAAAGAGAGAAGGAGTGCATGAAGGCGTAGACGGATTCTTGGTGGAGGGGCTTTCAGCATTTGAGCTCGTGCACTACCTTTCTGGTGTTTCTTAACTTCTTCTTTTGGCTAGCTGATTCTGCAGTTACGTCTCGATAGTCCCTGCCATCTAGATCGGTCGGCCAATTATCTAGTAGTTTAGAGCGAAAGTGGGAAGTGAAAAAGTGCAAGCTGTCCCAGTAAGTTGGAATATCTTTCGGAGAAATTTTGGGGCCACCGTTTTCCACTTCAGCCTGTTACGAGTTTCAGCCTCATTGCAATATATGGTCGTATAAAAAAAGCTCTCCCACAGTCTGTGCTGAATAGAGAGATACACGCTTCTCCAAGAGTATACAGCTGTAGTGGCCTCATCAGCCGCACCGTTAACTCTGCTTTCTCCAGACTCGATAAAGAAGCAAAGCAAATGAGTCTGGTAGTGAATAAGAACAAGACGAAATATCTCCTATCATCAGACAACCATCTCTGTTAACAATCATAACTTCAAGGTCGTAGATAATCTCGTCTATCTTGAAATCATTATTAATACCAATAATAATGTCAGCTTTGAAATCCAACGCAGAATCACTCTTGCCAACAGGTGATTTTAGACTGAGTAGGCGAACGAAAACCAAACACTGATGAGTCGGCGTTAGGAGTTTTCGAGACAAAGGTTTTGCGTAAGATTTACAGTCTTCTACGAGTTGGCAATGTCGAATACCGCAGCCCACGGAATGGTGAGCTGTATGAGATATACGGCGGCATTGGCATAGATCAACGAATGAAGAGACAGCGGCTACGCTTTGAAAGTACTCGATGCTTTACACGCTGAAGGAAGCAGAGGAAGAGGAAGGCCACAACGCCGTTGAAAATACCAGTAAGAGCCTTCTCTAATCTGCCTTTATTTAGTATTTCCTATGTTGTTAACTAGGCTATGATCGCGCAAGCGGTGTTCACGCCAGCTCGAACCAGTACTCCTTTGTCCAACTTTTGAATAGGTTAGCTGAAGTTTTCGCTGGTTATAGTTGTAGCTGTCGTGTAGTAAAGAAGTGGAAAAGGTCAGTGAGATAAGAGTTTACTTTCGAACAAATGTTATCAGTATCCTGACCAGACGCAAATGTCGTGTAGTCTTCGGCATATCAGCTCAGAGAAGCGCCCTCTAGTAGTAGAAGACGCTTCGAAATGTAAAAACTAAAAAACACTAAGGAGAAGTCACCACCTTGTGGTAGCTTTTGATTAATTTTTTTGAGTGTTGACTTTTAGCCTTGATGGCTCACATTTTCAGCCCGGGTATGAATCAAGGATTCTTCAATGCCCAAAAATAGTGCAGCTTAATTGATCATGTTATAAGCCAGTGCTACCAGAACACATTGCGCATAGTCGATTAAAAGAGGGAGAGGTCTAGTGGAGCCGCTCCGATATATTCGAATTCACTTTAACAGACCAAGCACATCAGAGATGCGACTGGGCGTGAGCGTTGGACTTTAGGTAAATGGTTTGGTTTATAATTTTTTCTAGTTTTCTTTTCTACTAGTGGTTTGTGATGGATTGTGTGCTGATACCAGCTTCAATGAAAAATGTGCAATGACATCGGGTGTGAGACCTCAACTACAGAGATCGTTTTAAGGTTTACGACTTAAAGGCAAGTACCTGGATAGGTCGGCCCTTTTATTGGAAAAATATTGCTGCACAGCTGGTGGAAGTCTAAATGCTGACATCCCCGTCGTACAAGTCCGGCGACGGACAGGACGAGCCGGGAATGAGTTGGGCGATTTTGCATATTTTAAAGCGTCCACATAAAGGAGCTACAACAGCAAGTGAATACGTGACTTGAAAAACTGCATACAACATATTAGCATTGAACTGTTCAACAATGGCAATGCCACCAGACAGCCCAATTCTTGTACCTTCAGTTCGGAGACCTCGATGACATAGACTGCATGAAAAATATGAGAATTTGCAAGTCTACAAAACTGAAAATAGTATAATCCTAAGTGAAGCGTGCAACAAGAAAATAATCAGCGGTAAGACACAAAATATTCTACTACACAGAAGAGTATCATGAAGAAGGAACACCATACAATCATAGAGCGCTCCACGGCTAGATGTGGCTTCCGAAGGCCTTACAGGGCGATTTGGATAGTGGATAGTGAATTGATCCTCCAACTCATTCCTTATTTGCGCTCTGGCCCCATTTTACGGCCGGAGGTGTAGGCCAGGCCATTCTTGATTTCCTACACGAGATCCGCCGAACTGTGACATGACCGCCAGCAGCCTTTGGGGACCACTATATCTAATGATCTGATGGTGCGGCCGCGGAAGCCGCGTGGTTAGCATTGCGTACTGCCATTCGGAAGGCTCGGGTTCAAATCTCCGGGAGGCCAAGATTCAAATGTTATAGAAAATTAATTTAAATAAAAAATTAATTTAAATTTTGTAATTGCAGTCATCCCTCGGCAGGGAATGTCAAGCTCCTCATAAGAAAACCATCAGCCGTTTGCGGGCAGCTTAGCATAAACTGTAGGCCCCTCCATTTGTTGAAAAAACATCAATACGGAAAACCGCAAATTGGAGGAGGAGCTTGGCAGAAAATCGCTTCAGCGGTTACAAACCGCCAATTAGATGTATATCTGATTTGGCAAATCTTTTGGTACGAAAGAGAGTTCATAATACATAAAATTAATAAAAAAAGGTCCAATAAACTTGTCATTCTCAACAAACTTGGGAAACGTTTGGCTAATCTTCTTCTCCTGCCGGCACGAGGACATTTCGAATATGAAATGCAGTACACACATCCAAGCACCATACCAATTGCTGTGGATAATTAATATTAATATTACATTTGGTCACTTACTTCTCTACTTTGTAAAATACCAACTTCTCTATGAGCTCGGCATAGCTTTTAGCGATAGTAGATTTCTTAATAATCCAGCTGACAACTTTGATTTAAATAAGTCAAGCGAAAGGCAAAAACTATCCGTAACACGTATTTCAAAACATATGTATTGACATACATAAATGTATCCATGTATGCATAAATAAGTACAGAATATTTACATGTTGATGCAAATTTTTCGCAAAAATGTCTTGATGCGTGCTTAAGACCTACAACAGCGCACATGGGAACCCTTCAAAAATGTCAATTTTAACATGACACAACCACCAATGCCGCCACCACCGACATTTTGCATTCGCCCCGATGCCTCGACGCGTTGCTGACATAATCGCATAATATAACGATACCGCTGTGCCACTTGAGACCGAAATGTCACTCAACACGCTCCACCATGGCGTTGTACAATCCACTGGCTAAGGATATACGAATTTTGGACTGGCTAAGACTGTGGCAGATATGTGTTGTTGTCATGTCACTTTTGTCATTTATGTCAACGCTGACAGAAATTGCTGACATTTTCCACTTGACATTTACACAAACGTCAATGCAATAGCATAAATTGAGCGGGCCAACTGCTGGATCCTTTTGTGCGTAAAGACGTTAACGCACATACGGATGCGTATGTGACCGTACGAGTGTTTGTGACTTTTATTTATTTGCATATCTGTTATATGCTAAATGGATATATTTGTAATGTACAATGGATACTTACTGGGATTTGCTTTGGCATTGCAAATGACACGTCCGGGTATGGTGCCCTCCTGCACGTAAACCTTTTCCTCCGAAACGGTAGAGTTATCAGGCGCATCTGTTTGAGGAGAAAAGGTTGAAAACAGAGGAATAGGCAAACTAAAGTTAAAACATTTGTATATACATACATATATATATGTAATAAAAATTTTTTATAAAAATATTTTTGTTCAAATTTCTATTTTCTCAAATTACTTTTTATTAATAATTTTTTTATTTTACATTTTTAACGTATTTTATTGCTTTATATTCTATTTTATTTTTTTTATTATATTATTTTGGTTTTATATTATTTTAATTAATTTTTTATCTCATTTTTTTGGTTTTATATTATTATTTCTTTATTACATTTAATTTATTTAATTTTATTTTAATTTATATATTTTTTTTAATTATTTCATTAGTTTTATTTAATTTTTTGTTTTATTTTATTTCCGTTTTTATTTTGCTTTTATATTTTCTTTTATTTAATTTAATTTAATTTTTTTTAATTCTATTTTTTTAAGATAGTTTTTTATTTTCTTTTGTTTTATTTTATTATATTTTATTTTACTTTTTTTATTTAATTCAATTTTTTTCTTTATTTTATTTTATTTTTTTTTGTTTTATTTTATTTCATTCCATTTTATTTGAATTTAATTTGATTTATTTTATGTCAATTTTTATTTTATTTTATTTTATTTTATTTTATTTTATTTTATTTTATTTTATTTTATTTTATTTCATTCCATTTTATTTGAGTTTAATTTAATTTATTTTTTATTTTATTTTTCTTTATTTTCCTTTAATTTTTTCCTTTTTAATTTATTTTATTTAATGTTATTTGATTTTATTTCATTTCGTTTTATTTCATTTTATGTTATTTTATTTTATTTCTATTTATTTGCTTTTCATTTGTTCAATTTAATATGGTTTTGTTATTTTTTTATTTTATTTTGTTTTAACTTTTTTATATTTCGTATTATATAATTTTATGTTATTTTGTTTTTTTTTTAATTTTAATTTAATTTCATTTTTTGTTTTTTAATTTTTTCTCTTTTCTTTTCTCTTTTATTTTATTTCATCTCATTAAATTTGATGTTGTTTAGTTTTTTATTTTTATCCATACTCACATTCAATGGAAAAATATGTCGAACTCTTTATTCCGGGTCCAACAGTATTGCCGGTCGACACGCATGTGTAGTTCGCGCTATCCGATTCAATATCGAATTTTTGGTTGGGCCAATTCGACATGTTGAAGTGCTGGAAAAGTTTTGTTGTTGATGAATTCTTATAATACTTGTATTTGTCTCTTCGACTTTTTTCTATAAATTAAAAATATAAAATCTCTCTTCACTTACCAACACGGAGAGCATGCTTTCGAAATCGCCCGTTGCAGGTGATGCGTCCACATACTTCTCCTTGATGAAGTACCGCGTGTCGTTCAGCTCGATGGGCTCTGTACCCTTCAACCAGGTAATTTCACAACGTGGCACGCACTCAATGCGACACGTCAAATTCGCTGTGCGTGAGGTGTGCAACATGCCCGTATACGGCACCAGATTCTTAATGAAGAATGGTGGTGCGTGCACTACTAGATCAACCGTTGCCATGACACCCTTTCCACCCTCATTGTAAGCATAGCATGAGTAGTTGGTGCGACTGTCCAAGCCCACCGGCTCCACCGTCCAATCCTTGGTGACGATATCTTGCAGAGGACCACGTCCGCCACGTAGCCAGCGGAATCTATGTGGGTGTATTAACATTTGGGCACGATGAGTGAAGGAACCCATTTTGCGGTATAATGAGAGTTGATGATATTGTTTTTGTTGTGTTTGTTGTAATGATGAATTGATGTCAGAAAATGTTGTTGATGATGGTGATGGTAATGATATGTCAGCCGCCATATTCGTCGGTTGCGCCACATTGTAGAGTGTTAGAATTTGTGATTTTGGTGAGAATGTGGTGAGTGTGAGCAATGTACAGAGGGGAGTCTGATTGTTCAAGCCAATTAGTGTATGCGTTTCTTTTTGTATCGTTTGATTGCTATGTTGTTGTTGGTGTTTATCAAGCAATGGTGAATTTTGTCGTATCAACGCCTCATAAGCCGCTTCAGCCTCTGAGGGTTGTAACGCTTGCACGGTATGGAAATGAATATGGAATTGATCACCAATTTGGGGTGCGTTGGTGGGATTTGTTGGTGTACTATATGATTTGGTTGTTGACGCAAATGATTTGGTAAAGGGATTAATGGAATTGAATGAGGATGCAAAAGCGGTATTCTTTTCGTACGATTTTACAGACCTATTCGATTCGGGATATCCGGGGTCGTCCACCGAGCAGGAGAATGTTACGCTCTTCTTCTTCACCGCTGTCAGAGGGAAATGGGTGAGGGTGGCCGGACCTGGTTCATAATGGACCTGTGTGCGAAATAGCGGAAAATAATATAAAAGAAGATACAGTCAAAAGTTGATTTAAAAACAATTCAATTTAGTAGTTCTTTTTGACGAGTTTCTTGATTAAATATTTATTAAAACTAAAATAACAATATTTTAGGAAAAACTTCAAACTCCATGACGGCCTTTTCTACTACGAGTAAGGAGTTAGTAACGTGATGGAGAACAGTTTAGGAATCATACATCAGTAGGGGACTCCAGTTAACCTGGAGATAAAAGCAGATAAATCAAACTCTGCGCTGTTTTGCTTTGAAATGGCCGTCTTTAATATAGGGAACGCCGACAGGCAGTGGAAAAAACGGATGCAGTGAACCAACTTCATATCTGCTGGGCTTCGTACCGCAAGAGCATTGCGGGAAACAAAATATTTGAAGAAACCACAAAAAGCAAAATTCCTCTGGTGACTGAGCTGTACGAGAAATTCGATGAAAAAGCTAAAAGACAGTTGAAGGTGAGATGGGTTGGCTTAACATGCAGAAGGAACACCATAATCCCACATGCATTTAAAATGGTCAGCACTAACAGAAAATAAAAAGGCATAAGGAAATGCAGGGAGTCGCTAGTACACCACCTCTGTGTCTACCTGACCCTACCGAGAACACAATCTAGACATCTAAGGTCTTTGCAGTTTTAGAAAATTAGTAAAAGTCTCCTAGCTAAATTTCGGAGCGTCTTTAAACTTTGTGAAAAGCATTGACGTCATGTTGAATTCAATTCAGCCTTCATCTGGCCCTACATGGAACCAACAGATCATTGTACGGCATATCAGCCAGCTTATGCAACTTTACCTTACCTGTTTCGGTATCTATTGGAATTAAACAAAATCCGAACAAGGAGTGCTCAGTCAGCTTTATCGAAAGATTAAATAGTCACATGAACTTTGGAACAACATCGGAAGCTTAAAACCCTGCAGAGTGGTCAAGCTCTGCTGTTCCATATAATTCACAAGACCGTAAATATCATGCAAAAAGTTATAGAAAAATTATTTTAATAAAAAATTAAGCTAACTTTTCTAATTGAGGCCGCCGCTTGGCAGGGAATGTCTACCCCTGATATGAAATAAAAGCTCCTCATAAAAAACCGTCAGCCGCTCGGAGGGGGATTATTTTAAACTGTAGGTCCCTCCATTTGTTGGAAATATATCAAGACGCAAAACCACAAATTGGATGAGGAGGTCCGCTGAAAATCGCTTCAGCGGTTACAAAGCGCCAATTATATGTATACATGATAAAATTTAAATATGCTAGTTCTTAGAATATACTTGAATAGATTGAAGTAGAATCGAAAGCATCGTTAAAAGTGTCGCTTCCAACAACCGGTCGGAGGTGATCACAACTTCAGAGGCAGTGAGGCTCGCCCGAAGCTCTTTCGAGTGGTTATAAATACATTTATATAGTTCCTCCACAAGTTTGTAGTCTACTTTATGGTGTTTGCTCAACAAATCGATGAATCTCAGAGGAGCTGACATTTCCCGCAGAGGAGCGAGAGCAAGTGAGAAAACTATTTTATTTATTTTTTTTTTTCCTAAAAATAATTTTTTTTAAGATTTTCAGTTTTGGTCGGATCAAGACTCCAGCCCATGACCTTCCATATGACAGTATGCACTGGTAACCACTGAGCTATTTGTATTTAAAATTCTATAATTAATATTTATCAGTTCCATTGTTATACCTCTTCAAGAACCACTTATTTTTTTTTGTCTTTTTCTTCTCCTTAAACCTAAATTCCACTAAATTTGTTAGTGTCTTCAAAAATTTGAAAAACATGTTGTAAAAATTCCTCTTTTGTCTACTTCACTCACCATTAATTCTTTATCTTCGCTACGAGGTCCCCAACCGGCCGCATTGTAGCCCTCACAAGAGTAGTTGTAAAAGAAGCCACGGCCAATGCTTTCCAGCAACAATTTACTAGGATCGATGTGGCACAGGTCCTCCTAAGAAACGCAACAAAATAAATAAAATACAAATATTTTCATATGAAATATATATACCAAAAGAGTAATGAAATGGTAAAGTGCAAAATTTTTGGAAGCATACTCAACCCGTTGTGAATAAATAGATAAAGCGTAGATATGTAAATAAATTTATTCAAATTGTCCAACTCACTCACCTTTGTCTCCTCACAATCGGGCAACTCCTTGAGCAACGTCGCATTGGCATACCAACGTACTTTTGTCAGCACCGCTGGATTAGCCTCTAAGATGTTGCAGTAGAGTGTCACATTCGATTCGTCACTCTCCTTGACGGGACCCTCGGGTATCATCAGCACTTCGACAATTGGTGCAACTGAAATGGATATGAGCACAACAAGCACGTCAGTTGGAGTTTATATATTATATCATTTATATTTATTTATACAATTGTATATTCGTGTTTGTGTATGTATACGTATGTATGTGCATATTTGTATCATAGAGAAATCTTCCCAATCTTCCTGAAAAGGACATTAGCAACGTTTACACGAACGACAATGACAAAACATGGGTAAATGACAATGATAATAGCACTTATGCAATAATAACAATAACACTAAAACACTTATAGATAATAATAACAACAAAATTAAGCAAAAACGTGTACGATGGGAGAGAGTGTACAATAGAATGTGAGATGAAACTAAAGCAGGGATATTGGTGAGGATGAATATTTGTGTTTCAGCAGAAGTGAGCTCAAGCGCTTCTTACTTAATGCAGTTATAACTGTATATTGACACACACATACATATTTTTATCTCCTACACAATACTTACACTGCACATCCAGATCGATTTGCTGCTCGGAGATGCCCTTGCCAATGACATTTGACAGTTGACAGGTGTAGTTGCCGACATCTTCCTTGTCGGTGGCGCGTATAACTAGTGCAACATTCTCGGAATTGCCGCCCTCATAACGTTCGGTGTCGTTGACATTGACTAAATCACCGTTGCGATACCTGTAAATACATGAGCAGAGCTTAAAAATTTACTTTTATTTCGCATGTAGTAGTCGGTATGTAGTTTTATGTTGTGATTATGCTTGTAGAATATATATTTGCTGATAAATGCTATTATTTTCACAGGTGTGTCTTTAAGATTGAGGATTGCAATGAAAGTGCTGGTACCAAAAAATTGGAAAATACCTTAAATTTTATGAAATGGTATTTTTATAACATTTTTTTGGATAAAAGACTAAAACTGTGGCTCACCCTACTCTTCCAAATATCAATTTAATCCAAAAACAAAATTAAAAAATAAACTAAACGGAAAAGATACCAATAGAACTCAGATTATTGTGTTCTATAAGTAGTGGATTTAATACAGGGTGTCCCAAAATTAGCTCAGGTTTTAAATTTGCCTCCATTTATTCAGTAAAGTTTTGACAAAAAATCGGCAGCAGACAGTTTAGGCTTAGTAAAAATGAAGCGTCCGACGAAAGAACAACCTGTCTTCATTATTGAAAAATATTTCAAAAATGAGTAAAGCTTGGCGATCGCAGTTCCAAAAACTCATACAAAATATGGTCGGAATAGTGTTTTACCTTCGTTAAGTGAGAGGAGATTAATTGAAAAGTTCCACGTGACAGAATCCATTGCCGACATCACCACTCACTGGTCGTCCAAAAAAAAAGAGTCGTTCAAACGACAATATCGAAGCAGTGCATGAGTGTCAATGATAATTCAGGAATCTCAATTTTGGCAACGCGGACAAGAATTGTAAACTTCAAGATTCTCTCTACAGTGTATCCTCAGTAAAAATCTTCATGTTTACGAAAATCAATTATCAGAAAAACTGAATCCTAATGACCATGTACTGCGAAAATAGTCTGTTGAATGGACTATTGAGCCGAAACAAATGGATACTGTTTTTTCGACCAAAATCATCCTAAGCAATGAAGCACATTTCCAAAGAGATCGGTTTGTGAAACGCACAAATTCTCGTTTTTTGGAGTTCTGGAAACCCACAAATTATTGTCGAAAAACAAATGCATCTGTCGCTGTCACTGTATCACTGTCTGGTTACTGTTTGGAGCTGGAGCCATAATTAGATCATACTTTTTTGAAATTGACGCTGGTCAAGCAGTGACTGTTACTGGTGATCGGTAACGGAGCGTGATAGCCTTGCCATTTTTCCGAAATTGAATGATATTGAAACATGTCATACATCCCATGAAATATTTCAATTACTGCGTGGAACATTTCCTGGTCGTGTACTATACCGTTGTGGTGACCAGAATTGGCTCGCTAAATCGTGGGACTTAACAGAATTCGATTTTTCTTTATTAACAACCACAACCGCGCGTGCTTTAAAGGAAGAAATTCAACGAAGCATTAAGGTAATGCGGAATAATAATAGTTAAGGAAAATCTCGACAAACAGCTGTGTATGTGTATGAAAGCCGCTTAGGCCACCCATGTGTTATTCCATAAATAAGCCTATTCTGTGTTCTTTATGATTCATTAAACAAATAACAATCAAAAGATTAAAAACTGATCTGAAATTCGTTAATTTTGAGATAAACAGCATGAAACAAAACTGATTGATTGGCTCGAAATTTCTGATTGCAGCAGCTTCAGAATGGCAGATTGCAGCAAACAGATTGAATTTTTTCTTTCGGTTAAACAAGGGCAGGTCTTCCTATTTTGTTCTTCCCTTCTGTAACGAAAACTTTCAAACCTGCAGTGTTTCCGGCATTTGGTTGTCATATGCAAGCCACATATTTCAGCCTTATAAACAGAACGTTGAATTCATATCACACCTCCTCATATTTGATTAGCTCAGCCGGTAATCCATCGACTTTTAGAAACGCGGAGCAGTGTTATTCTTAAAGCAAGCAATTTTATTTTAAGACAATTTCAAATTGAATTTCTCCTCCGATCATCGACAGTGCAGCGAAACTGCATTTTTACTGCACTCTCTGAGAGTTGTCCTTGAACACTGTGAATAAGAGAACTCTGAAGCGGAGAGAAGATGTACTCCGTAAATACCATAGGATCAGAGCTCTCTTTTTTACAGTGCTTAAGGACCACTTTAAGAGAGTGCCCGTCCGGAGAAATTCTATTGGATATCTGCTATATTGCACTTTTTCGTCGTCTTCGAACCATCATTCTGCACAGAGGCGTGTATTTTTCTTGGCTGAGACAAAATAGCGACCCAAAGTAAATCCTGGTTGCTCAGAACATACTTCAAATTTTCGTTCTGAGTCTAATTTTATAGCTTGCTGAATTTATTTGTGCTGGAATTTATTAGTAAAGGGAACCGCATTTCTGGCTCTAGTGAAGCCGAGCAGAAGCGTCAATAGATATAAACATTTTTGGTGCATTCAGGCAAAAACAAAATGAAATTTTTTGAATTGCTTGCCCTCTGAGATTCTTAGGCGAAGGATACCAAATGAAAAAGCTTAAAAAAATTGGCAGATTTTTTAGTTGGGAATTCTCCGATAAATCGAAATACAGTATACCAACTTAGTAGAATAAGCGAATTCGAACGGAGATTCCGATAAATTGAACTTGATAAGTTTGCGCTAATGAATGAACGATGCCAATCGTATTCAATTACGATCAAGACTAGTTTTTAAACTTTATTAACGTTATAAATCCGATTTTAAATACAGACTCACCACATCGAGAGCAGTTAAAAAAGTTTATGGGAGGTCAGTTTTCTTTCGGTTTATTTTGTCTTCCTGATTATTGAATTCATTGTATATGACATTATCAGAAGGCCTAAGTTTTAAATTTAATTTATGAATAATTTTCTAGCATGACTTTTATCACATTCTTTCCACCACTGATACCATTTGTTAATATGAAGAATATATTTAGCGAAATAATTTCGTTTCGCCTTGATGCCGTATTATAGAAACGAAATGAAATTGCTAATGTTGAAATCGCAAGAACGAATTGGCAATGTTAATGTTAATGGCTGTCTGCCTTGGATGTTAATGTTAATGTGTCAATGTTAACGTTTAACATTACCTGTTAACGACTTAACATAAACGACAGCATTTCGTTTCGGATAAAAACGAGATAAGGCTTATTTTAATGGCTGCTTTACTGAAGCATTTCCAAGATTTTAACCGCAACGATTGAAATCTTTTGATTAACGTGAAATTTGTCGTTACAATGTAGCATTGCAATTTACTCTGAGGCGGATTCTCTTTCATCTGATAACCATACCATCAATTTTTCATGTACTATCTTTTAAATACAGAGCTGGAAATGATCGAATTCTGAGCAACCGAGGCGTTATAGCAAACAATTTTTTCATATATTTTTGAGATACTGATTCCTGAGGAAAAATAAGATTTTTGTGTTCTATTTTTATTTTTTGTATTGTCTATTTTTACTACTGTAGTTCATACCGTGCATGCTTATTACATTCAGATTCCTTCATTCAGTTAATATCTAAAATTCATTTCGATTTACACTGCTTTACCGTTTCATCAACCGTTATTTACCTGCTCATGGCTTTGCATTTCATTGCATGCAGAGCTATTTGCTCTATTTGCCTATCATAGCTACTAAGATATTTATGTGATTGTTTCATATTGTGAAAGCCTAATAAAATTATGTATGCATGTCAAATACCGTTAGTGATATGTCTCAAGGTTTCAACGTCAATGCCTGCCTGATTTGGAATTCATGCTTGGCATTTTTTGCATTTTGCATTTACTTAAGCCAAGCGAAATACACAAAGTGAGGCAAATTTAAATTGACGTTCGGCCCACGAGAACTGCATGATTACGGAAAATTCTTGTGCAACAAAATGGCGATGAGCACGGTGGAGTAGGTGGATGAGGTCGAGTCGGCGGGTTAAATCAATTGTCAGCATAACTGTAAGGTATAAGCGTGTGTGTCTGGCATAAGCAAATAATATCGAGCCGCTTCGTTACACTCATTCGTGGAGGAGGAAAAGTCATTTACTTGGAAGCGATTTAAAATGAATTACGCTAGGCATTAACTATTGAAGCGTAACTTGAACGATAATCATGGTTGATATTCAATTTGTGCTCATCGACAATGCAGCGACATTACGAAAGTGGAATATTTGCTTTGTGGCGATGTAGCTGGTGCTCGTGGGTGGTATGCTTTAATGATTGCTGCAGCATTTTAGGCGGTCTTTATGTGGTGAACATTCAATATTCAATATTTAGCAATGGATAACGCAAAGGCTTGTATTGCAATTAACTGATATTGCAAGCAAAAATTGGCAACAAAAAACAAAATAATTTGCAATTAAAGCGGTACTAACGAGCGTTGTATACTTTTAGGTGAAAACGGCCCCGTTAAATTCCAATTTGTATTAAATTTCAGTTAAACAGAAAATAGGAAAAGAATTTCTTAAAAATGGTACGCTGGGAAAATATTGACTTGAATTTCGTTCAGCAAGTCTACAAATTACACTCATAAATACTCATTTTCAGGCCTGCATATATATTGCATACTTTTCGGCCTCTGAAACTTAATACAAAAACTCAGTTGCATGCACATTTGCGGTTATTTTGCCATTTGCGGCGATAAATATTTGGCCATAATGCGCGCGAATGACAGAAGGTGTGCCATAAAATTTAATTGATTTACCCATAACAAAGGTGCATGCAAGCGCCTGAAAGTAGACACCTCAATGAAAAAAAAGAAGAAAAGTTTTTCAGAAAGCGGAAAGAATTACAACAGCTGAGCGTAAAAAAAAACAAACAAACACAAAAATAAACAGCACCGCGAGCTTACTGTGTGCCATAAAGAGATAGGAGGTGTAGAGAATTCTGCGCGCACTTTTCAAGAGTCCTTTGCATCACCTGCACAATTACAATTTTTTTCATGAAAATTTGCACGTACACTCGTGAGCATATGTACAATCGCATCTACAACATACATATGCAGGTCCTTACGAAACGCGCAAATCCGTCGCATCGGACGCAATAAATCTGCTCGTCGTTTTCCTTGGCAACTCGGCATTCG